TTGATCCACTTGTACGTAAGCATACACTCTTACATATACACACCAAAAATAAAGGTATTAGTCAGTAGTAATACAATCTAAAGCACTTGTTTCACTTTGTTTCTCTATTTTTGCCTTTATGAATCATCTTCCACATATATCGGCATTTCTAATGATGAACAACACTGATGCGTCGTGTTTATTAAACTCGATGAAATATCAATTTAATCGTCTACCAATTCTTTATGTATAAATACACATATAATATGTATACGTATATAAGTGTAGATGTGCGCGTTTTGCATACTTCGCATTTGCTTCTTTCTTCCTTCTTTAAGTGTTGGGCTTTACATGTATCCATATGCAAATGTGTATTGCTTTTGTGCGTCGGTGGCACAGTGGTTAGGACTCTCGCCGACCATGCACATGGTCCGTGGTTCGATCCCCTGCCGACGCACACCATGATATCTATGGCCGGCCTGCAAAATTTTGGCTACCGATATCCACGCTGAAAATTCCATACTTGTACCAAAAATACAGTGTGGAATCAAGCTGTAATCAAAAAAATAAAAAATAAATAAATAAAAAAAATACAAGTATTCTATTTGTAAGAAATTATATTTGTGAAATCTCAGTGAGATTGAAATGAGTAATTCCAACGTTTCGTTCGTCAATCTGGTTTGGACTTCTTCAGGGAAGCTAATCGAAATTAACGAAGTAGAGGTTTATATATAAAAGGAACATCTCTTGCTTTTAAAAGCTTTGTCCAATCATGAGTCATGAAACCAACCAATTTAACTACTCCTGTGCAGTGAGCCAGTTAGTTAGTTGCATTGGCCGTACAATTAGGTGTGTTTCTCCTCAGATTTTCGAACATCAGCCTGCACAGTGGTTAAGTAAATGGAAAACAAAATCGATTCGTAGCGCAATTCTATCTCATCTTGTGGATACAGAACACAAGATTGATGTTAACCAGGCTTTCAGGGTTATTTACCGCATACCTTTGAATCTCAATTTTGCCTTAAGAGTTCGACTACAAAATTTTGCTGAAGCTGTCGGGATTCATATTAACAAGCCTAATTTGTGCATCCAAAAGAAGTTAGTTCAGATATAGTCCTTACTTTGCCCATCTGGGTTTGAATGATCCTCAATTTTTGTGGAATTTACCTAATTTTAGATGATATTCTATTCGCTACTATCTCTTTATTATTATTATAATTTAAGCATCTTTAATGAACTTTAATTTCATTGTGATCATACTTTACAAATCGATATTATTTAAAAAACACTAATATTGTTTTTGAACAAAGCAAAAACTACAGTTTTAGCAGAATAAAATGGCACCATCTTATATTTCGTTGCCTTCTCGTCAGCTGCTTACATGGCAAAGACATTAATAAATATATCTACAACAACAATTTTAACATACTTGCACAGAGTTGAGTTTAAACAAAAATCAATCGATCAATATACTCATACACTAAAATATATACATATATAAATATGCAATATTAACCACTATTCCGAACAATAATAATCAAACACAATGGAAACTTTTAGCATTTCACATTCGGAGGAAAGAGAGGTGAAATTATCCAGTTACCAGGGCAAAGAAAGACTCATAACCGCTTCTTTCTGGACGCATAAATCAGGTTTCAGGCGCTTGATGGAAATGGCTTCAGCAAACTTAAGGAGAATTGAGCTATTTTGCTTATTGATAATTTTGAACGACTTTTCGACGTCCACCTCATGACCTGTGTCAAGGAGATGCCTGGTGATGGCACTGTTTAAAGCATTTGTTCCCTTTAGACGTAAGCTTTTTGGTACACGTTCAGAAAATCGTAGATATGCCCTTCTTTCTGTCCTTCCAATGTAACTGCTCCCGCAGATACATGTAAATTTGTATACACAGTTGGAGGTAACATGAGAAGGATATCTATCGATTTTTGATTGCACCAAAGAGCAAGTCGTTCGATAGACGGGAACGAGCTTAGCTGCAGGATACGCTATGGCTAGTGATGTACTCAGCCTTCTGTTGATCATCGCTGCAATATTTTCACCTTTATAATCTAGCTGAAGGTAAACTGGCTTTTTTCCCACTGTGATTTGTTCTACATTTGTGACTTCAGATCTTCCATACTTGTTGATGAACCTTTGAGGATACCCATTTCTCTTCAATATATTTTCAAGGAACTCAACCTCCTCCTCTAGTTTCTCTATAGAGCATATTCTTCTCGCTCTATAGTACAAAGTCTTGACTAGACCACGTTTAAAGCTATGTGGACAAAAGCTATTAAAATGCAAGTATTGTCCTTTCCATGTGGGCTTTCGATAAATTGACTTTTGAAGACTACTGTCTTCTAGGCGTTCCATGGCTATGTCGAGGAAGTGAAACTTTCCGTCACTTTCATGTTCCATAGTGAAGTCAATATTGGCGTGTGCACCATTGAATAATCTTAGTAAGTGTGAAGCATGACTTTTATTTTTGCACACTATAAATGTGTCATCAACATAACGACAGTAGGAAGATGTTTCGTCGATTGCATGCTTCAGCTTTGTTCTTTCAAGGTTAAACATGAATATATCTGCTAAAACAGGGCTAAGTGGACTTCCCATAGCTACACCATCTATTTGACGGTAAAAGGTGTTGTCAAATAGGAATTGCACATCCATGGTGCACATAAGCAGTAAGCGTTTGAATTCAGACTACTAATCTAGAGTATTCTGTGTATATAAACACATATACAATTGCAGAGCCAGAAGAGGAAATCATCTTAAAGGATATTCTTTGCTCAATTATTTTGTGTTTTATAAATATAAATGAGTAAAATTCATTTTACAACCTTGTCGAGGTGGGAAAACGAAAGAGTAGGGAATAAAATTAAATCAGAGGTTAATGGAATAAAGAAAAGTGTACCATGACATGTATTGACAGTTCAACTTTTTATAATACTGCAAATTCTCTAAAACACTTTTCAAATTTGATTGAGAGCTGATACCAGTTAGAGAATTAATGAAATCCACCTGAAAGTACTGGACAGCTGTTTTAGTCGTTGTTTGCCACGTTTTAGCAGTAACCATCTACAACTCCAGTGTCAGGAATTGAATACAAAGCCTTCAGGTAAGTAAGGAGGCCTGTAGACAATTTAGCCTCTGGAACAGAATCCAGTGACTAGTTCATGAATTCTATCTTCTGCTAATTCGCCATATATAGCTCCAATGTTTGTGTTACCGAGTAATTGTCCTTACACGCAACTCGGTTGACCCAACTGCTCACCACTTCCCACTAGGACTGCAGATAACTTCATTCTACGGTCATCTATCAGTGAGCGACAGATTAATTTTCAAGTGTTGATGCTCAGAGATCTCATTGATTTCAAGTGAGAACAAGAAATGACTTCAGCCAGAGAACAATTCAATCACAGGGAGTACTGCAGAGAAGTTAGAATTCATGGGCCAATCTTTGCACTTCGCATACTAGGACGATAGATGTCAAGGAACTTAATCCTACGTTCCTATTATTTGTGAAAACGCTCCGAATCGATAATTACTACTACCGCTTCTCGACTTTAACTTCAAAACACCAGTACTTGTAAAAAAGAAGTTATTTGGCAATTAAAATCGAGGTTAGTACAGAAGTCTGTAAACAAATGTTTTATAAGTAATTCACCAGTACTTTTATTGGTATTCTTTCGTCTTATTCCAACTTGTACACGACTGAATCATTCGCGCCTTCGAGTTGCCCACCGATCGTTACCAAAGTCAATGAACCAATGTTTAATGTTCACATGCCTTTACAACAGACTTGTCCAGTACTCTCTGGTGATTTCTTATGTTCCTCCAACTAAATTCAGTTTGTGATCAAACTAAAAATCAATCGAATCCCTGCAAACCAACACTTGATAACTGAAGTAATTTTGTAGTATCACCATTATTTCACCTCTACACGTGTACATTCTATTTGAGAAGGTGATGATTAAACCTCCTGTGGAGTTCAGATATGCTTCTTAACCTAGATACAATAATAAATATAAGATTTCCCCTAATACATGCGGAATTTTATGCCATTTATATCAATAATTAAGCTGTTTCACGGCTGAACATTCATCTTTTTTCCTAAACTTCGTGGAGAAGAACTCTATCCCAATTACTGATCACATTAAAAGTAAAAGTGAGCATTTATCAACAGAAATGAATAGCAATTAAAGCTAGAACACATGAATTATTTATAACCACTTGAATCCTTATTTGATGGTATGCATGTTTCAGCATTTTTTTTTCATTTTCTCCCCGAAATTTTCACAGGATAATATGCATGACTATGTGTTCTAGATTAAAAGAAAACTCACGACATGAGTAGATGGAAAATAATCGCGTCAAATAGCAAAAATCACTAAACGGATCGAAGTGATCTCAATACTGAACGGCCGTGTTTACTCGTCTGAGGTTATGGATATCAACACTGTACACAGATCGACTTAGCACATAGGGCAGAGTCAGCTGAAATCCCCCAAATTCTAGTTAACTTGGAGAACCAGTGAAATATAAATTCGAACTTGTTATTCGCAAAATACAAAATTCCCGATGAGAATTCATCACAACTTCCTTTCAGAACCAAAAATACTCAGATCACAAAATGTAATCCGTCTAAGGTGTATAATAATAATAATAAGTTAAAGACAGAAGCATTGTTTGTTACTGTAAGACTGACTAGACGGGTACTTCTGTCTCTCACACCATCTTCCAACCTGTTGAATGCGGAAATTTCACTTCCGATGTCAGTTATTATCAAGCAAGAGTTCAGTTATAAGCAAGAATAGCTGCACGACAACCTTTGTGACTTCAGCACTGGGTAACATGGGTTTGAATCCCAGAGAGGAAATCCGTCCCTTTAAGGATGTATATATGCCTTACTGACGAGCTCCGAAATGCACGAAACCTAGGTCTACAGCTTCCTGCCCATTTCCCCTATCATTAACAATACGCAACTTTTTATTCTGTTTTTCTTTGTTTTCATATAGAAGAACGTGCCATTTCCTCAGATCGTCAAGATGCTCAAAGACAACTGGCAAACTATTCCAAAGATTCCAATCAATTGATTGAGTCGAATACAGCTTATCCAGATAGTTTAGAACAAAATATGCTCAATGGTAGCGGTGATACAAGTGCATATTGTACTAGTGAAAGTAGACGAAGCCAGAATGATTCATTATTGATTAGTGCACATAATATTATAAATAACAATAAAATGAGTACTAACAATAGTAATAATATTAATAATGATAATGGTAGCAATAACAGTGATATTAGTGTCCCTAATAACAGTAATAACAATCCGAATAATATTAATAAACAATCCCCGTTGAAAACTACACTATGCAGTAATTATCCAGTCAGAACTACGAGCAGTCTTCATTACAGTATTGGTGTAGGTGGAGATGTCAGCAGTGTTGGAGGTGGCATAGCTGCTTCACTGTCTGATTTAGGCGGATCTCTACTCTCTTTGTCTGCAGTCATTCCAGATCCAAATCATCATAACCCTCACCATCATCATCATCTTCCACATCTTCCTCACCTTCATCACAACTCCAGTGAACCTAAAGTGAACACGAATCATCTGATAACACATGATTCATTTAGTCCATCATCTAATTGGTCCATTGATGGTAATTCACAATATAATAATAGTAGTATTAATAATAATCAATATATTCAACCAGAACCAATGAGTAATTACACAGAATCTTACTATACATCAATACGTCAATTTGACTCACCAACGTCACAGTCCTCTTCATCAGTAATCTCCGGTAGGAATATTAATAATCATAATAAATCGTCATCGAATGAACAACTAGCATATAATAATAATAATAAAACACAGGAGACATTCAATCATTCCTCCTCACCTAATCATCATAATTCAAGTGGATTGAATGAGAAAAAGACTACAAATTATGCAAAAGAAGTATTATTAAAAGGTAATGCAAAATTACAATCTGTTAATAATTATCCCCATCACCATCATCATGCCATACATCATCCCTATTCACAACATCAATCACAGTATATGATGAATCCTCAACATCAACAATTGCATAACTCCAATGTTGTAACATATGAACAGAATTCACAAAGGCTTATAAAAGACAGTGAGTTTTTTTTGGCTTTTAATTGCACAACTTGTCACGTTTATATTGAATGTGGGCGGAGAGAGGGTAGACGTGGAAGAAAGATCTACATTGGTACTTAGGTGTATAGCCTTTATCCCTCCAAATAGTCCGTGTCACAAATATCAGAATAATTTATCTGGGATTCTAGTGAGAAGTCGTGACCAGTAGGGTGCAGCAGGTCGGGTGTGAGGATAAATACTCGCCACCGAAGACATTGGCTAGTGTCAGTCACGCTATGTCATGAGTTGGCAGAAGTTAGAATTCATGCACTGGTCATTGGATCGGGTCCCAGTGGCCTAGTGTTATGCGAGCTTGCTAGCCTTGTAACCAGAAGATCCTGGGTCCGAATCCCGGTGGGTTCGTACTGCTGAAGAATCCCAAACTAGGCTAACGAAACAGCTGTCCAGTACTCCCAGGTTTTCCAATGGTTCTCTAACCAATGTCAGCTCATGATGAAATCTTGTAACCATTCAACCGAATCCCTACAAACCAGCACTTAAATTTATCTGTGAATGAATAACTTGTAGGGACTTTGGATTAATTTCAACTTTCTATAATCTGAATATCAGTCACCACCACTGATGGTGATTGGATAGATCTTCTGAGGCTAACTGCAGTAGGAATTTGTGTCCAGTGGAGTTTGTCATGTTAAAGTGAAGTGTGAATGCTAACCAAAGACAGCGCTATATCAAGAGTTGACATAGTTAGAATTCAGGGGGTCAGTGACAACCCAAGTGACCGAATGGTCAACAAGCTTAGTGTTGTGACCTGAGGGTCCTGAGTTCGATCCTTGGTCAAACAGTCAGCATGCACTATGAAGAGTCCTAAAATAGAACGAAACAACTATTCAGAACTCCTTGGTGTCCAGTGACCTCCTAATAATCGATGTTGGTTCATGACAAAAATATGTACTGTAATTTTTCTTATATTGACACTAAATAAGCTAAAAACGATTTGTGAAATTTGTCATCTTACCAGTGAGAATATTTTCACACTGCAAAAATGTGGTGCTATCTGGTGTTGAATAATTTGATGAGAACTGCTTAGCTTTTGTTCACCTTATCTCAGAGGCAAAATTAAGCATGATCTCCACTATATATAAGTATGCATACGCTTACTGTGGATCTTTTTTCATGCGTAGTGTGCCAAATTAAGTCTGTCTTCACTGTCAAAAATGACTGAAACTAACCAGTCAACCGTCACGTTCGAACCAACCTCTGGAACTGATGCTCACTGGAGTAGGTAAATGACTTCCAACCATTGCGTTACGGGCTTGAATCTCGTCCCATTTACTGAAGTTTGAAAAATAAGGAAAATGAAACGCCATTCAACTTGCAGTCAACATTCTATACAGTTGTAAATGTGTTGTTACTATTATTCCATTAGGCTCTAAGTAGGACATATGGCTCCAACAGCACATCCCTATTTCATCCAGCCCTCTGTAGTCGTCTTTAGTTGACTTCACGACTGTCCATAAGCTGTCATCCCCTAAGTATCACACTGTGGCGCACGTCCAATTAGTCGTTTCCAATTAGCGTTCCATTTGAGAGCCATCCTGGTGCCCTGTATCACTCGGAGGTCTCCTCAGAGTGTATCCGATCCATCTTCTCAGGTATATTGATCAGCTACGGCTTCTTGGTCGGTTCACTGCCTATTAAAGTTCCTTGTTGTTAATCTTCTCTGACCAGCTGATCTTCACTTTGCACTGAATGTTTAGTTTTACTTCTTCGATCCCAGTCTTGATATCTCCATCCGTGACGCCTGTAATTGGAAAGAGGCTACCCAAATAAGTAAAAGAAATGAGTTTCTTTAAATTTTATCCGTCCATAATGATTGGTGATTGCTGTTGTCGTTAATTAGGTTTATTCGTCACCTCTGTACGTTTTATGCTCACAACAAGTCTGTTGTTTTCTCTGTTTCCTCTGAAAAGCTGCCGGATTTAGCTTTTAGATCTTTGAGTTTGTCTGACATTAGACATAAATCATCCATGAAGTTCAAATCGTCTAAAGTCTTCTTGTCTATCCAACATATGCCCATCTTCTAGTTCCTCATAGTCTACCGCATTATCCATTGATAGCAGGCAGTCTTGCCTTACTCCTGTCTTAACTTCAGAGGCTCCACTGAGTTCTTCATTATGAATAGCTTAACATTTGGCAATATATTTTGATTTGACACTAGTAACTAGTGTGATGCGTCTAGTCCTCTGATTGGTGGCAATATGATATATTTGTTGAATGAAGTTGATAAAATTACGAGACACTGCAAAGTGTCAAAACAGTATCAGAAATAATTTCAACGTCAAGTCTGTTGAAAGCTTTCTCATAGTTTTTGAATTCGAAGCACAAGTATGACTGGCATTCTAGGTTGGTGATGCCACCTGCCTGTCGATAGATGAAGCAGGTTTTGCATCCATAACCTACTTGCTGAAATCGACGGCCTAGTTCAACGGGCCGCAGCTCTACTTACCGAGGTTTAAGAAACTAGATGGCACAATTCACCTTAACACAATAGGTGTGTATCACTGCTAACTGCTTTGAAATGCACCGGCTTATTGATTTAAATTCAAGCATTGCTACCTTGTCACCGGTTTCAAGTCAAGCAATAATAGCGGTAACATTTCAGCAGACTGTGAATAATAAATACATTCAAGTCGAAAGAGTGTCATGACTCCACTCTAATTGTCTCATATATCCTTGAGTTTGTCAGTTAACATTCACAATAGTAAAATGTACAATTTTTTCAAACTACCACAATCCCACTATAAGTTTACCGAATTCTTCTTTTATTCCAGGTAATTCTTCGTGTGATAGTCAAGAAAACCTCAACAAGAAGAATAATCCTGAATCATCTGGTGATAGAACTCTCCTGGATAATCAATTCAAACAATCACTACCGTCAATGAATCATTTCCATGGGATGAAAGCTGAAAAGCATTCACAATTCACGCATAATTCAGTCCACTCCTCACATACTACATCTCAGCTAGGCAACGATGCTCATTTATCATTACATAGTATGCATTACTTACCACCAAAATGTCCTCCATTCAACAGTTTGTTGGCGACAATTAGCGAGACAATTCCTTCTTTCACAAGTGGTATTCGTGCGGTATCCGCTGCAACGGCAGCCTCTTCTTCATCTCATCTTAGGTATAATCCATTACCACCACCCTTAGATAAAAGAATCAACTGTTCACAACATTCATATGAATTTTATGATCGGTTCTGTTTACCCCAGTCAATGCCAACAGCAGCAAAACACAGAGCAACCCATAATATCTCACAACAACCACCTCCACTCCCACCAATACCAACACAACAACAACAACAGCAACAGCAGGGACAAAATTCCTTATCAAATCAGCAGATATGTAAACAGTTTCCACGATTTAATGAAGAAACTAATCTGAATGTAAGTTTATTGTTCCTCCTTCTATTTCTTCGCCTTTATTGAATAGTCATGGTTGATATTTTTACAGGGATCTTAACTTTATTCTAAGATTTATTTTAAGCCCACACATACAAAAATATCATTAAAATTATAGGTTAATTGTAGCAGGACTTCACCTCAATGAATTTATAATACAGTGACGTATCCAGCTGAAATAATTATTCAGTAGATATTTCCATTTATGCTTTGAGTTTCCGTCATTTTTATTCAGCGACAACTGCGTATTCTCAGTTGTCCGTTTCCAGAGGCCTGACTGATCTCAAGCCGCATAAAGAGTTGACATCAGTTGGAGGAACGCTGAATCTGTCAGGGAGTACAGAACAGCTATTTCAGTCTAATCTGAGGCTCTTCAACAGTAATCGTCCATCATCCCACTGTGAAGTGTTGGACTCAGTACCTTCAGGTTACGAGGCGAGCTCAGTCGACTATTCAGCCAATGGGACGGAATCCATTGGCCTCTGAGGACGCCTATCCACCTATACCATTATCTGATGTCACCTGAAGGACCTAGTTTCAGTAGCAGACTGAGTAATAGGTGTGTACTTAAATGGGATGGGACAGCTCTTCAGTATTGGACGAGGCTTGTCAATGGTTTTCTAACTGAAATCAGTTCTTGGTCTGATCGTATATTGTGTTTCCTACATTTAGCTTTTTGTTTATCTGTAAATGACGGTGGTCATTTTGAGACTTGGTTGTATGTTTCCATTATAATGTCAGTATTACTCGACAACTATGACAAGTGCTTCCTCTTTACTTACTGTAACTCAAAAATAATTAGTTACAGTTTACAAACTGCATAAATTTCTTCTCATTGTTCCAGATGTTGGTCAAATTACATCGACTGGAATCTGGAGTTTGGTCAGTGAATAAAATTACGAAATTCAAGTGAACTGTTGTCAAGATATGACAAAATAGTTCTAAAACATTTGGGCGCGGAGTGAGAAGTAGACATTTGTAAAATTATATTTGTAAAATCTCAGTGAGATTGAAATGAGTAATTCCAACGTTTCGTTCGTCAATCTGGTCCGAACTTCTACAGGGAAATTCATCGAAATTAACATAACACAGGTTTATATGTATATAAAAGGAACATCTCTTGTTTTTAAAAGCTTTGTCCAATCATGAGTCATGAAACACGTATCAACAAGTACAATAAACAAAATTGCATGAGCTGTGATCAAAATTTTGACCTTGGGCCTACAAATATTGGTCTACCTGTGTTAAACACTTTAAACAGAGTGTGTATGAGTGTGTAGGTAAACAGTTGTAAAATATTTCTTAACGTCTCCATAACAAGAAATAGACAGTCGGGAAGTTTGACCAAGTATTAATAATTAGTGATACATATCCATTTTTATCTATTAATCAGGATTTCATATGCATCAGCTAACATCACACCGTGTCTGTTCATACTGTTAGTATCTAGAATTTTATGTTTAGACGTATTTTCAAAATTATGATGTTTCGGATTAGGGTTTAGTTGAAGCACCCTGTCGTACTTATTGCTTTGTCTTCTCTCTGAAGATTGGACTGCTTTATTCGACCTACTCGAGTTGTCAGGTGACTTGACAGCTACGGATTTAGGATATGCATTCTGTTGTAGACAACATAGAGTGAAAACACGATGATTGTGCCAATTACACAGTTTCTTTGTTAATTTAATTCTTATAGAGACGTTAAGAAATATTTTACAACTGTTTACCTACACACTCATACACACTCTGTTTAAAGTGTTTAACACAGGTAGACCAATATTTGTAGGCCCAAGGTCAAAATTTTGATCACAGCTCATGCAATTTTGTTTATTGTACTTGTTGATACGTGTTTCATGACTCATGATTGGACAAAGCTTTTAAAAACAAGAGATGTTCCTTTTATATACATATAAACCTGTGTTATGTTAATTTCGATGAATTTCCCTGTAGAAGTTCGGACCAGATTGACGAACGAAACGTTGGAATTACTCATTTCAATCTCACTGAGATTTTACAAATATAATTTTACAAATGTCTAAATTACGAAATCTTTATTTTCTTTTTGAAATGGCTCTTAAAAGTTATACAGCTTTTATATACAGTTTTTATCCTTTTTGAAGCTTTTTATCACAGTGAATCAGTAATATGTTGAGAGTTGTTCCTCAGAATACTGCCGTCTACATCAGTCATAAACAAGCTCAGTTATCTCTTGCTATAGTGAAGTAATTTAATCTGAAAATGAGACAGATTTTCTTCTAAACGAAATTTCCTTGGTTTTTACTCAACGAATAGACAAACCACAATATTCACAATTTTCAGTTTACACAGTTCGACGTGACTGTCCCACCACAGGCTCCTTTAGAAACCGACATTATGCATGTATGTAGTATGTGGTGTGTTCACTTCCATAAATGGTCATTAATAAGGCAAGCATATTAGCATAGAAATGTGTACTACTCATTGATCGAGATGATTAGTTGCATACCACATATATATATATATATATCAGCTAGTAGTAGAGAGCCAGATCTCTCAGTTGGGTCAAAGCCGGTTACACCACTAATGAGCCTGGCCCCAAATATATGGAAAGGCCCTCTTGTGTCAAGATCACTTTAATCTGGCTGGTCAGGAAGCACTAGTCATTGATTTGAGTAGTCTACTGCTCATGCACTAATACTCACCTCAATTAATCAGTCAGTAAAATACGGTTGATACGCATTAAGGCAGAGTGCTGGTTTAAGGTATTTACAGTAATTAAGAAGCTGCTTGCTGAAATAACTGTGTATTCATTATTAGTTATAATTGGAAATAAAAGAAATGTGATTACGTTTGTTTTTATATTTATCCTACGTCACCCGTGGATCGACTATGTTCAACCGAAATGCTCGGTTTCTGTGGTCATTTCGACTCCTAGTACGGACTCCTTTGTAACAACAGAAGACAAGGGCCAGGCAACAGATCGTTTATTTACGAAATCAACACATATTTATAGATTTTGATAGACATATTATAGATTATTGTTAGGAGAAAAACACAGTCCTGTGATTGGTTGTTTCTCACAGAAAGTTAATCTTGCATCTCTTTGTGGCTGTTTCTTGAATGTCAGATCCTCTATATACTAAATGTATCCGCCTACGCAAAGCCTTTCTTCTCATTTTTCTCACGACCAATATTGGGGACATAAACATTGACATAAATTACTGTGCACCAATTTCGACTAACAGCCAGCTCTCACCACACCTTGACGTTTTCAAAGGATCAAAATGAAGATATTTCGTTTGGTGGTGACCCACAGTGGAATCCAGGATGTGAGTGTTTAGTTCCATTTAGGACTTTTCATCACTTATTTGAAATGTGGGCACTTCCAGATGACGAGTCCCAAATAGCACGAAGGGCGCACCTCCTGGATTCCACTGGTAGTCACCGTCAACCAAAAATAAATGTTCGTGGAAAATACCCATATGGACATTAGAAAGAAGAGAACACGAAGTTCAACAAAGATGGTGATCTTTTCGGCGATTTCATTCTCAAAAGCAGCTGTACAATCGCATTTATATAGATTATTTTACATGAATACAATTATTATTTGTTTAATTTCACATAGTAACGAAGGTGATAACAATTTTCAACTTGATATGATAGTTTGAAGGTATGAATATAGATTACAAGGGGCTTAGAGACAAGATTTCATAGGATTAGAAAATAGTTACAACGTATGCAAAAAATTAATATTTGATAACTGGAGAAATAATTTTAAAGGCGAATCGAAGGTGATAATTATTTTCGACTTGATATGAATTACAAGAGGCTTAGAAACGCAGGGATAGAACGAACTACAGGTGTGAACAAAATGAGCATGGAAACAAATTGAAATCAAAATTTTCAACTTGAAATGTTAGTTAGGAGGTATGAATATAGATTACAAGAGGCATAGAAACAAAAAATTACACAGGATTAGAATATAAGTGTAAAATGGTTATTCTAAACGGATTACAAGTGTGATCAGGAGGAGCATGGAAACAAACTTAAAATAACTGTTTCATAGCTGAAAAAAAGATTAGGTGGATTAAACGAAGATTGAGGGACTAAAAATCAGACACACAGCGAACGAAAAATGCTCTGGAGGAAAAAGCGAGAACGAAAACAGACGAGGAAGAAAAAAAAAGACGGAAACAAAAGGAACATACCAAGCTAGGTTCATGGTAGTTGTAGAGGTTGGACTAACTTCTTTTGAACACACAGCTCCGGCTTCTCGATGCACATTGCGAGGGCTTCTGCAGTACAAAGAAGTCGGAAACATATTGCTCTTGGTAGGTTTCTGTTGACTTTGTAAATCACTTTGAAAGAATCGGTTGAGATTTTGTGGGAGGTGTTGACCAGATGTTCAATAATGGCACTTCTGATTGAACCGGAGACTCCTTTTTGCAGCCATGCTTGATAATGTTTTCTAACACGTTTTGAGAGGACGCGCATACAACGACCTATGTACCTAGCTCCGCACGAGCAAGTGAACTGGTAGATGCACATTGAATTGGTCATATGCGAAAGTTTGTCCTTCGTGTTGTTTCGAAGTATTGGACGGCTAGAGAATGTCACTCTTAGTGTTTTTGCAGGGAAGGTCTTCTTTAAAGAGCTGGATATTCTCCTCTTCAGGATATCAGCTGCCAAATCTCCCTTGAAATTCAGATTTAGATACAGCGTTTTCTTGGCGCTGAATCGCATTCTTCTCTTTTAGGTTTAGGTTTCATGTTCTTTTCGACAAAACGTGTCGGGTAGCCATTTTGAACCAGGATATTTTTGCGGAATAGGAGCTCCTCTTCCATGCAATCGCTGCTGCAGATTTTTTTAATGTGATGAGTTAGTGCGATGATGAGAGCTCGTTTTTGGCTCAGAGGTATCCAACTATAGAAATGCGTTAGTTGGCCATTCCATGTCGGTTTTCTGTGAATGGACCTCTTCAGGGTTCTATCATCTCTTCTTGTCAAT